GGTGTTGAGTCCAACCGGGCAGGGATGAGACGCTTCCCATCCATCACCGGGCCGGATCCTGGGGCTCTCCCACTCCTCCACCATCCCATCTGCAGCCGATGCACATCCCAACTTCCACTTCCCTTGGGATCATCTCAGCTTCATTCCAGCACCCCTTCCAACTCCCTTGGGAACGTCCCGGCTCCGTGCTGGCACCCCACCATTCCCGTGCCGCTGGCTTCGTACCTAAAAGGGTCTGCGCATCCCCCACCCTGTCTAATCCCTCCTGCCCCGGGAAGCAGCCGGCTTCCTCCTCCGCACGGCCCTCGCTGCAGGTAATTAAACAGCACCGAGGCCAGGACAAACTTCCCGCCAGGCTCCGTGCACGCCGTAAATCAAACAGGAGGAAGAGGGAGAGCAGCAGGAGCCAGAGCCAGCGGGTGCGTTTCCTCGGAGGAAGCGGCCGGCAGCTCCCTTCCGCCACCCGGCCGGGTATTGTCCTGCCTGGGGCTGTGCCAGGAAAAGCCGCCTCTGCCAGAACCCCTGCCGGGAGGCGTCTCACACCGCTCCTCCTGCTTATGGCAAAGGCGCCCTTTCTGCCAGCGCTGTCCCCTCCGCTGGCCCAGGGACGCTCTGCTCGCCCCCCTGCCACCTCGTCCTGCCCCTTCAGCTGACGCCAGCAGCTGCTGGCAACCGCGTGGCTGTGCTGCCCGTCCCCAAAGCCGGGGGACATCCTCTCGCAGCTCCCCGCCCCATTACTTTTGGTCCGATGGGACGGGCTGGACGCAGGGCAGCAGCTTCTGCCTTCACCCAGCTCCAAAGCAAAGGCCCAGGCCAAACGATGGGACCTGCAGGCTCCCAACCATGTGCAAATTGCCCTGGGGCCCCCACGATGTGCAAACCCTGACGGGGTCCCCGCGATGGGCCAGCTGCCCCTGGGCTGCCGTGGGCTGGGCGGCGAGGGGAATGGCAGGCTGGATTTGAGCCGGCGAGGATGAGCAATGGAGGCAGACGGTGCCCAGCAGCGGCGAGAGGGTTAAGTCCCCACACCCAAAAAAGCCGCCCCGGTTCAAAGAGAAGCCGCTCTCCACCTGGGCTGATGTCCCAATGGGGAAGACGGTGCCAGCCACTTTGGTGCCAAAGGCTGATTTTCAGCAGCTTGGGCCACTCCCCTGGGCACCGGGGCTTGGTGCTGCCGGGGCTGGGCACAGGGACCCCGCACAATCCCGGCTTCCTTCGGAAGAAATGAAAGCATGGTTTCTAACCCCGGTGTTTCCGCAGAAAGGCGGGATGGTACAAAGCGAAGCACCACGGGGGAGGCTTGAGAGCAAGAGGAGGAGGAGGATGCGCAGGGACCCAGTCGTCCCCGTGGAGGCAGGGCGACGCTTTGCCCTGAGCTGCTAACTCTGTTTTCCCCTCTTGCCGCTGTACTGATGCCAATGCAGGAAATGGGGCCAAAACTGGAGCCACTCCACTCAATTACAATAAAAAGCCATCTCAGTGATGGGGCAGCCTGGGCACCTCGGAACCCTCAGCTCAGGAACCATCCGGTACCCATGCCCCAGCCCCAGCCAGCCCCCTGGCACCCCCAGCCTCGCGGTCCATGGGGCAATCCCCCCTCTAGGTCCGCAAGCCCCTGGGCTGGCAGAAGACAAGCCTGGGGGGGTGGTATTTGCAAATCTCCAGACTCCTCCGGGCCCTTCCCCTCGCCGGGGGCACAAGGGGGTCAGCCCCTGTCCCGGCGTGGCCACACGCTGCCTGAGCCATTCCATCAGCATGGCCAGGGCTGGACACGGGGAGGGCTCTCCCCAGCTCTCCTTCCGAGCCAAAATACTGAGGTCATGAGGAATGTGAGAAGAACAGAGTCCAGAGCAGCCCTGGCCAGCACAACTTGATTTATCTCGGCCAGGCACGCTTCCCTCGAAGCTGCGCGCAGGCGATAAGCCCCGAAGCTCAGGGCTGAAGCTGTTCCAAAGTTAAAGGGAAACCACTGAGCAAGCACATGGCTTCCTCCACTGCCAGCGACCTGCTGGGATTTGGGCTCCTCACACGGAGCCAGCCGTCACGCGTGCCCATCACCTGCAGTGTCACCCACCGGTGCTGGGTGTGACCAGCCGTCCCGTCCCCATTCCCCGCCCCGGGGCTGTACGGGACAGCCTGTGCTCCGTGCCACCCGCCGTCCCGGCGTCCGCTCGCCCAGGCCACCTTGGCTGCGCCGTCCAGGCTGGGGCTGCTCCCGGAGAAGCCGGATGCCGTGCGGGTGGGTGCGCCGGTGCTGACCCAGGGAGGGAAAGGGAAGTGCTTCAATCTTCTCAACAGCCTAATTTCAGGGTTGGGCTGCTGTTATTTCTGGAGTTGTCGTCATCGTCGGCCCGGTTGGTCGGGAGGCCGCGGGGGCTGCTCGGGCTCCGCACTCGCTCCAGCACCTCGGGGACCTCCCCGAGCTCACACGCCACCTGGACAACAGGCGCACGGTCCGTACACAGATGTATTCACATGGGGATCAGCTCTACGTGCTCCGTCACACCTATAGCTCTACAGGGCTCCTACATCTCCACTAGAAAGCATCTACCACTTGTCCTGCCCCCTTGCCACAGCTGCCCACCAGCACTTCGCCCCAACATTTCCCTGATTCCCTCGGGGCTGGTGACAACAGAGTCAGAAATGAGCCCCGACAGCGCCAACGGCCTGGGATCGCCCCGCTGCGAGGAGGTGCTCGGGGATGAAATGGTTAAATTTACATTCCGGGTGCACAGGCACAGTTGGGGTACATGCACAGCCCCAGGCACAGACCCATGGTGGTTTCCCATGTGCATGCAGGGAGCACCCTGAACCCCCACAGCACCCCCACGTACCCTCCAACACCCCAGAGGTGCCTGCAGCAGCCTATGGTGCCCTGCAGCACCCCCAGCCCTGCGGTTCCCCAGCACCTCGGGGTGCCCACAGCACCCCTAACCCTGTAGGTCCCCAGCACCCCAGGGAGCCTGCAGCACCTCCAGCCCTGCGGGGTCCCAGCCCCCCGGGGTGTCCCCCAGCATCCCCAGTCCTGTGCGTCCCCTGTACCCTTGGGTGCTCCACAGCACCCCCGGCACTAGCAGGTCCCCAACATCCCGGGGGCCCCGCCC